CTATTTCCCTGGGAAAATTTTTTTCAGCAGCAGGTAATTCAGAGCGCAGCCAACTCGCTTTGCTGTACGCTGGCTCCCTTCTCCTCTGTGCCCAAGACTAAACCCCTTAAAAACACACAACACAAATCAAGTCCATTAATCGCCTTCAAAAAAAAAAAAACACAGGCAGGCCCTCTGTGATCAACAACAGGAGTAACAGGAAACATGCTCCGACATTCAGAATGGGGAAAGAAAATAAGTTGCAGGAACATACAAAGAGCCCAATAGAATGAACCAAATGCCACGGCCCCTGTTCAAGCCCTGAACCTGACCCAGCCAAGCACCCTGAGCCTGGTGCTCGCCGTACAACTGTCGTCTAGTTTATCTGCCCACAGCCCTCCCGCAGGAGCAGGGGCTCGGCTGCTGCTCCCATCACTTCCAGCGAGTGCTTTACCCAGGAAGAAACTTGAGGATTTGCAGATCCCCCCGTGACGTCCCTTCTCGCAGGTGCCAAAGTTCAGCAAGTTTGGTGAGTGCAAAGCGCATCCTTCCTGTGCCAGCTAAACCCGCCCCGCTTCAGGCACGTCCACGACTCTTCCTTCTGCCCCACACGCAGCAAATTGATGCCTCGAGCAGACACAAACCCGTAACCCCAAATGATTGTTTCATGGCGCACCCCCCCTACACAAACTGACCCTAACGAGGCAGGCAGGACCCCTGACGCGCGCTTTCACATGCATGAGCGGCGCCGAGGGGGAACCTTTGGCTGCAAGGGAAGGGGATACTTACACATGCCCCCGATGACCCCGGCAATCCTGCAGAGCCACCTGCCCGCCACTCCGGCGGAGCCACCTGTACCACCAGGTCAGCCCATCGTCGGCGGAGGAAGCCGCTGGGTCAGGGGCTGCTGCTTGGAACTGCTCATCCTGAGGGCTCATCGCACCCCTGCTCCCGGGGGGCCAGGGGCCAGCACCCCGCTCCCCGCCTCAGCCCCAGCAGCGCAGGAGCCCCCCCCCACCCAAGTGACACTCCCCCCCGTGTCCCCCTCGAGACAGCCCCTAAACCCAGCCCTGCCGCTGCTGGGCCTCTCCCCGCACCCCCATGCAGGGCCTGGCCCCCGGCGGCCCCCCCAGGGCCGACAATGGAGGGTCTCTGCCTGCAGCAGCGATGCCAGCGGCCGTGGGAGCTGCCTCCACGTCTGCCTGCGTATTGCATTGGGGGGCCCCTCCTCCCGCAGGGAGGGC